CAACTTTTCACATTCTACTCACATTTTATTTGTACATTATTTCATTTTTAGAAGATTAAATAAAAATTACTTGCTCTCAGGAAAATATCTTAACGGAATCACATTTTATTAGAATAGTTATGCTGATTTTCCTGTCGTATGTAAAACAATTTATACGTATATTTTTCTTTAAAATCTAAGGTCAAACCAGGGTTAAAGAGATTAACAAAAGGACAGATTAATGGAAATACTCTATACTGCACTAAAACGCTTGTAATTTACATCTACTTTTGGTGCCGGCAGATTCCATAAATATATCTCAGATATATCACCATGTGTAAGAAGTATGATTAAATATTTCTTAAAGCTATGAAGTTTTAATAACAAATACGATGATATTATTTGTTCATCTCTTTCTGATTACTATTTTCAGTGCCCTCGTAATTTCATTCAGGTTCCGTAACCCTTTCATTTCTTTTGATAGATTTCGATAATATTTCAGTGTGTTACTTTACAGTAAATTAAAATCATCCGAAGTCACTGACGTTGTCTTTTTCAACTACTCTTGAACGCATGTCCTGAAATTGGCACTGAAATGTACACAGCTAGAGTGTGAGGTTCATTTACATCTGCGGACGAGTAATAGTAAACAGAAGAGATGCGTGGGGTCGAGACGAAGGAAGCAAGGCGAAGACAGCCGTTGACGTTGTGAATGAGAGAGTCGTTTGCGTTGCTGACGCTTTGCTCTTCCCCTTTACTCCCACTTTGAACCTCTCCACCCAACGTTGCCGGAGTTCTTCAGCAAAATAACATTTCACGACACATGCAACTTCATCTCGCTATCCTACATAAGGATTCCTTTTGTGAATTTTACACTGTTCACAAATGCAAGCTTTCGTTCGTAATCTCAAAAAATTGTAAAAATGAAGAAAAATGTTTTTTAATGAAAGTTAATAACAAGAACTAGAATACGATTAATGATTTTGAGTTAACCAAATTTCTATAATTATTTATGTGCTTCTTAAAACGATGAGATCCATTTTTACTTCAGTATAACTTATCCCTCCTACAGTACCACTACAATCCTGTTCAAGAAGTTCTTTGATATTGTAGCTACTGGCAAAGAACCCACACTTTATTAACAAGAAACGTACATTGCCAATGGAGTTATTACGGTTTACAACGGGTAACGGGTCTTCACTAGTTTTTAGACATTTTGTTTACAATGGAACATTTTTCCTGTAAATTTAATTTCTATTTAATAAGTATTATCCAACCGAATCGGTTCGAGATGGTGACTTGAAAGCGGTGCAAGCACTATAGATATTTAACAATTTGGTCATTATACTGGGATTTCATGTTATATTTTGTTTTGTTGCTTCAGACAGCTATAAGGGTTGTGGAGTTTTGCACTTAATACAAAGAATAATAAAAACAAAAACCATATAATATTCATTGAATAAAACGTACAAGAAAATTGTTTCGATATCAGGGAAATAATATGTATACAGTTTGTATACTGTTTTTCAGGTTAGTCACAGTATATTCACTGGATTTTACTAGAGATATTTTTGAAGTGAAACAGGATTTCTTAGGGTTTTCTTTACTTTTCCGTTGCTAAATACCAACGAAAGCATTCAACATCGTTACAGAATATTATTACTATTAATCTTAGTACGATGTCCTCTCGTTTTCTGGAAAGATAAAGGTTTTCTATTTTTTATAAGAAACCATCAACACAAAAAGTCTCTAAGCGTGCTACTACTGAACAGATTTTTATCCCCGACCAGTTCTAGATCAAGCAGATATACAGACGAAAATGATATTTCGCAGATTAGAATGGGGCAAAAGCAGGGGCATGGGCTTATACAACCCACAACACAACGTGATGCTGGAACACACTTTACCATATAATCTTGGAAATAGTGCTTTCTTTGCGCTTAAAACTGGATGTCCACTAGGTACGTTTCTTTAACCGTAATGAGATGCCACGTAATGACACAATGAGACTATTCGGAGCTACCTAATACAGTTTTGGAAGGTATCCTCACTTTTTCGCACAGGGTTGAGACAAGCGGTCGAAGTTGGATTCGTGTATGAAACTATATGTACTTTTAAAACAATGATGTATAAAGTGTGAGTCCAATTATTTATCATTATCGCGACAATGTCGACTATTATGATGATAATAAAATTAATTTTTAATTTTCCTTATTATTATTATTAGATTTATTAATAATTCTGCGATTAAGTTTGATAACTTGGTGCCAGTATACACTAACTTAACTTTACTGAACTTAACAACTTTACATTATTATTATTTGCGTTCCGTCCATTTCTGACCACGCCACATGTTCTCTTTCGAGGCACGGATAGGGATTAATGTGTGTCATTATGGGGATCAGCTTTTCGGCTGTATCCCTCAGTAAGACAAAGTTGTAGTGCCTTGAATTATTAATTATGAGGTGATATGATGATGATGGGGGTGAAGGATCAATATACAAATACTTGCATACCTTCGCGGGACTCGAACCTACAGTATCCTTGGGGCAGACGACAGCTGCCGTAACTCTGCGCCAAGGGGACAGGGTCGGCTTCTTCTTCTTCTTCTTCTTCTTCTTCTTCTTCTTATCATTATTATTATTATTATTATTAATAATAATATACTTAGTATGTAAATAACGCTCTATTACAATAAATTTAGCACATGCCATGGGGGACCACAAACCCCAGCCCACACGTGGGATGTGGCAACGCCGCGTCCTCCGCGCCCCACGTGCGAGGAAACACAAACCCCCGCGCCTCGCGCGCCGCGCCGCGCCGCGGGGACCGGTTTGGGGCCTAACAAACGACGAGCGGCCGGCGACAAGCGCTAAGCGCGCGGATCGAATTTATATATTCCGCGAGCGCCACGCGCCGCCATTCTCGACGAACGCGTGGCGGCGGCGGCGGCGACTCGGACAAGGGAGCGCTTGGATGTGGCATGTCCCAACCTGCCCTCACACGTTTTTGATAGGAGGTACTTCAAAAAAGGGAAGGACTCGCATAAAATTGTAGCTAATCATATGAACTAGGAGTGTTAAAAAATGATGGTTACAATCGGACAGATGAAGCTGAAAAAATTGTTTCTGTTTGGGGTTTGAGCGGCCCAGGAGGCGGTGAGCCACATACTGAATTCTTTATTTCAAAACATTGCAGATTAACCGTACAGACTGAAAAAGAACACTCATTATTTCCTATTATACTTTCGATTAAGAATTATTAATTCTGTATATTATTAGCACTTTTTGTCAATTTAAATGACACATAAGATGTATCCTTCTAGTACGTGATCATATTAAAATTATAACCATTGAAATAATTTATTTTTAATGGTAACGATAATTTATTATTTATAGCTATTAAAAGAAATGCACAATTTTTCACAGTAAAATAATGACAATGAAACACATAGGGGTTTTAAAGAAATTCGCCAATTACAAATATCTGTCGTCATAAACTGTACCCAAAGCATTCTGTAAAATATGCAAGAAACTATCATTTTCTCACAAGCAAAAATGATTAATGACTGACGAGTGAATTAAGGTCAAAACACAGTTTAAAGGATTTAAAAGAATTCAGCTAATTACAAAAAGAAACTTTGGTCTATAAACTTGAGAATTTTGTAAAAAAACTAATTCACGTGAGATAGTAAAATTTTGTAATGGCGTTCTTCTTCACATGTACTTTTCGACAAGAAATTCCAGACATGTTTCGCCGTGACGCATCTGAGCGTTCTCTTGCGAGAGGGAGGGAGAGTCCAGGGAACGTGCACAGCGCACGAGAGGCCCCAAGAAACGTCGCCACTCAGCCCCGCGTGTTGGCGCGTACACGCTCGCGCATGCAGAGGGCCGTGCCCAAAGGCGTACGCGTGTCCACACACAGGGATATGCAGGGAACGGCCGGTGTTAACATCGACGTGTGAGGCCTTTAAGTTGTTTAGTCTCCTGCTGTAGGATGTGACTGCGCAAATCGTTGGAAAGGAACGTTGTGTGTGTGTCTATTGTTTCGTGACGACTATCGTTTTTCGTTTGAATAAATGCTGTGGGATGTTTATTATTGGACTTAAAGGATTTTTATCCAAACTATTTGGAAAAGTAAATAATTATGAATTATAATTAAATGAAAATTAGATAGTTTTACACCCAAGATGCGAATTTCATTTCTGTTATGGATATGGATACATATTGATATGAAATATTATTGTAATGAACTATTCATGAAAAATTATATATGTAGAAAATTGTTTAATTGTTCTTATACTTATAGAATTTTATCGGATTGTCAAAAGAAACAATTTTCTCCTCAGATTTTACATTAACAAATGGAATACATTTATGTGAAGTGCTCGTACTGAGGGTTGTCAAGTGTACACATAATTTGGGTAGTGTTCTCCCATCATCATCAATTATTTGCTAGGTCACAAGAATTTTCTCTGATTTAGAATATACACACAAATACACCTGCAGCTGCTCTGAAGTCTTTTTCAGATATGTTTTCGGTTTATCAATAATGCTCAAAGCTTCGGAAACGACAATAGCCTACTTGACAGAATGAATATGGTTAAACGTCCATAACTGAATTAGAATGGTTGTACACTCACATCATTAGTGTTCGCTTTCTTATCAAAGAGTTTTAACCTTACTTTCACCATTTCATCGCGTTAGAGAAACAATTTCATCTTATGATTTCAAATGTCAAACACATGAACCCAATCCACTTAAGTAAACAAATTATTTATTTTAAAAAATGCAACGAACGTAACGGATGAACGCTACTTGGGGTCAAAACAAGTAGCGTTCAGCTTGTTGAGTAGACTCGCAAGTGTACATGAATTTTGCAGTTGCACTCGTTCGTTAAACATACGACTCTTGCAAACGACCGCTTCTTGGCTGTTAAGCTAATAATTTTTGTTTTCTACCACTTTCTAAAGTAAGACTGAGAGCTGTCCGTGTGAAAACGCGTGTGTTTGTATGTTGCAGAGCCATGTCACGCGTGCGTGACGCGTGCCCCGTGGAGAGACGCCGCGGCGGCTGAGCGGCCTGTCCCAGCGACGCCGATCGACCGACCTCTCGACCCACCCGACCCCACCCGACCGCAGCGCTCGCGACCGCCCGCTCGCCCGCCCGGCCTCCCGTGCGCGCGATGGAGGTAGTGGCCGCGGGGGCCGACGCTGGGGGCGGCGGGGGCGGCGCGGGCCCCGCGCCCTTCGCGCGCCGCGACGTTCGCGAGTGGTCGCGTCTGGACAGCGCGACGGGCGCGCGGGAGCACGCCCGCGTCGAGAGCGACCGCTGGTCCTCTCGCTCTGCCGCCGGCGCGCGGTCCTACGGAAAGGTAGGTGCTCTCCGTCTCCCTCCCTCGCTCTCTCTCTCACTATCTCTCTTTCTCTCTCTCTCTCTCTCCCTTCTATGATTCTGCCTCTCCCCTCTCTCTTCTCTCTCCTCATCACTCTCCCCTCTCTCGTCCGTCCTCATCTTTCTCTTCTTCCTTCTTCCCACTCATCTCTCATACCCTCCGTTTTCCCTCTCTGTTCCCTCACACTTCCTCCCTCTTCCCTCTATATTCCTCCTTCTCTTCCTTCCATCCTCCCTCTCCATTCTTTTATTTCCCCCTCTCATCTCTTTTTTCTGCTCCTCACTCTCCTCTCTCTACTCTCTTCCTCTCTCTCTCTCTCGTCTCTCCTTCTCTCTCCAATCTCCCGCATTTCCCCAATTTATTCCTTACTCGTGTCTTCTTCCCTCAGTCTTCATCCCTCTCTTCCCTTTTCACCTCCTCCTCTCTCTTTTTTCTTCATTCAATTGTACTGCATGATCTAATACAGATCCATCAATCCAATTGCCTCTTTCTGATCTCCCATCCTTGGTCTGTTTCTCATTTGTGTCTTTTCCTCTTCCTTTTTTCTTCTATTTCTGTCTGCAAGACTCCTGTCTCATTTTTTTCGTCTGTCTGCACATATATTTTCCTTAATCTATCTTTTCCCTTTTATTATTTTCTGTTTTTCCTTCTCTCTCGTTCGGTTTACAAGTGTATACATAGGTGAAATATTCAAACTTAATGTGTGTTATCTGTAAATTTAATTTCCATTCACACTATTTAATTGTATTGATAAAATATTCTGAAGTACAATATGAAACGTTACCCATTTTCAAGCCTTTATTTTCCGAAAATGTACTAAAAATCAGCATCAGTCAATTTCTGTTAGGCCCTATTCTCCTTTGGTTGTGTTCATGTGCCCTTTATGTGTCTATGTAAGTGCGTGCGTGTGTGTTCGCATACATCCATATTGTTCATAAATCTAAGAGAGACTGAGATACAAATATTTTATTGGAATCTTAGAATTTGATCTTTCCGGTTCAAACAAACCCGCAATCGTGAGTCTGCTTCGTCTGCGATCAACCATCTCTGTAAACTCAAACCAGCGTGTTTTGATCGCAGCCCAATGGATTAACCGACGAAAACCACAGGCCGGCTTCCTTTACTCCTACAAGGAAAACTCAGTGGGGGAAACCTGGCTCCGCAAATTTGCACTAAATAACCGAACAGCGGGCAAAGGGTTTGGAGGTCATTTCCCGAGAGTTAAATGATTTGACGGAAACGCAGGCTCGCGGCTCGCAGTCTCATCGCCCCGAACGAAGGCCAATTTCAATCCATTTCACAGCAATTTTCGGCTTCGCTCCCGCGTGGCGGCGACGCCACGGAGTGTGAGAAAGGGGGCGGCGCGGCGCTTCAAACGGAGTGGACTTCGCCCGATGCATCCCGCGCCGCGCCCCCGCCCGCCGTTAGCGGATCGGGGGTCGTTCCCACAGGCCTCCTCGCCTCTCCGCGCCAGCGTCATTTTGTAACGGCGCGTGCAGGCCTCGCACGACGCAGCTCCGCGCCGTGCATTCCCACTGCCTTCGAGGCGGCCGTTTCTGCTTCCTGCATGCATTCTTCATACACGTATTCTACACGTATTGATGAATGAATAATGTGGTATGCTAAAACGATTCAAACATATGAGTTGGTAAAAAACAGAACGGTGTAAGTGACATTTTATAAATTATGAGAAAAACGGGTTTTTATATTAGGCTATATTTTAGTTCCAATGTAATTTTGTGGTTTTAGTGAACAATTGAAATCACGTGGTTTTAATGACTCAAATACCCACAACCTTAAGTGATATTGAATTAAATAAACAGTTTTCTCGGAATTTATAATAGGTTACTTATATCGTTCTGGTATTCGCTCATTCATATGGTCAAACGTCTACACCACGATGAGAGGAGAAAGATATAACTTTTAGTGCTTCCAAAAAGTGTACCGAGGGAATTTTAAAATTGAAGACTTATAATATTCAATTTTACATTTCGACTGTTATTTCAACTTCAAAGAACATATGATATTATGAACTAGCCAGTAGATCGGGGCTTCAGAAGTTAAGAGAATACAGAACACAATTATTGAAATAACTCAAAACTGTCCCCTCTTTCTTCTTCTTCTATTCTTGTGTTTCACGTTTTCTCTTTCGCCTCTCATTGTCTGTATCTTCTCCTCCTAACTTTATTCTTTTTCTTTTGTCTTTTATTTCTCTTCTTTTTCTTCTTCTTCTTCTCTTCCCATTTCTACTTTTTCTTTTCCTTGGTGTTCTTATGAATGTGGCCTGTCATTTGCAAGGGCACTGAACCGAAAGCGTGTTATGTATACACGTCAAGCGGGTTGCGTATTAAAACATTGACAGTCGTCAGCGATTCACCGTGCTGTGCTAATATTATTAACTTGTACCTTATATCGGTTGAGTCGTTGGCCCGTAGGGGGAGGTATGTGCAGAGGATGATTAATCCCACAAAATGTCCTGTAGCTCGACGCCGCATCTCACATCCAGTGAAGAGAGGCACTGCCACCTATCGGGATATAACACAACTATACTTACGTGACTAGTAACCATAACAGTTGATGCGCCCGGATACGCATAATTAATAAATCACACGAAATGCGCCTGTCCACAAAATCGTCGCTCAGAACGCAATCGAGATGAAATTCAATTCCAGAATTGGCTGGGCTATCCGGGACGAGCCGCGTCAATGTCATGGTGGCTAACGTTTCGGCCAGCGTATTGTTGCCTGAAGACAGAGCGTACTGCAACAGTACGCTCTAAAGCCGGGTAGCCCATCCAACAGCTTCGTTATTCTTCACGACTTTCCGTGTACCTCCGTCTACGAGGAAAGCCATCCTGTGTGTAGGTTTCCTCCCGACACGACGTGCTCTCCTTTCCGCACCCCCTCCCCCAGCGCCCTGCGTGTTCTGCTCCTGGCCGCGCGCCGCCTCAACTGCTGATTTGCGCGTGCGCTCGCGGGCGCGTGGGGCAACCGCGTTCAGCCGCGACCCATTGACCCCCGACGAGCGCCTTCTTTTTTTTTGGGGGGGGGGGCGTTTGCGCAACGCGGCGTTTCCGCTCGCGCCGACGTCTCGCGTGCGATGTCTCTCCGCGGCCCAAGAACGAACGGACGACTGCCGCCGCCGCCGCACTGTGGGGCGAATGAATGAAAAGCCGACAAAATGTTATCATTAAACGAAATAACAGAGGGAAAACATTTTTACGTTTGATTCGAGTGATTAAAATACAATACATTTTACCACGAGTTTCGTACACTATATGTTAGACAGCTTCACCAACTTTCATTTTAAAAAAATTACGGTCGCCTTAGAAGCAACTAGGTCATTGGCGACCACAGTTAAAAAATACAGTAGTTACAAATATAGGGTGGTTACAAAATTGCAAAGAGTACACATATATTTGATATATAATATGCTTGTAGTATTTGTACATGAGATTGACAATATGTAATCAATTGCTAAATGCAATTAACCAGATTAAATTTGGTAAAGAGTTTTATTTTCATTGAAGTATACAAATCACTTAACACGCGCACGCGTTGTATGTACTATTATTTAACACACCGTGCGTGAAAGATATATCACACATCCGTCGCGATGATTCTCGCTCGCTCTGCAATGTTTCACACACTATTTAAATGGAAAATATAGCTTTTTCGCACGGGAAAACATGCGTGAGCAACCGTATTTCGCGCATGGCGTGATAAAAAATGATTTTTCTTCGCGTTTGGCCCACCCAATTGCAGGGTCCCAAAAGACTCGTCGCCGACATACGTCGGTTATACAGAGTGGAATAGGAAATACTCCCCTACCCCCCTGTTCGGATGAATGAAAGATATCCGAAAAGTAAACAGGAATTGCGAGGTATATAGGCAGATTTCATCATTAACGATCACTGAGAATTATAGATGAATGAATAACCATCCACCTTGAAAAAGGTCCACATTTGTGTGCTCTAGTCTACACAATAATAATCAAACCATATGAAAACTTGGTGAATATGGCACCACAAAGCCTGAAACATTTGGACATTTTTCTTTTCATATGGGCTTCAATAATATATATTGAGCAATTTTGAAAAAAATAAATTTTGGCCGCCTTTGGGGTCTTTCAAACAGCCGTGCGCCCTCGCCGCACTTTCTCCGGCCATCGAGGTCAGTGAGGCGGTTTGGGTTTTCGGAGATATACAACTGATGATATCTCTTGGCGGGACGCAAAGCCGTGGAACTGAAGGAAGGTCTAATGTTTCACGGTGGACGCCTTCAGGTTGTGGAGAGCTCGTTTTCATTGTGTTCACGGATGTCCAGGGCAAATCGATGTGGCAGATGTCTTGAAGCACAACGTGACCAGTATTAGGGGATCGATACAAACACCAGATAGGTTTGACAAGGTATTATAAAACTAGTTGAGTCTTTCTACTTACTGAGAGTACTTAAATACATTAAAATAAGGGTATATGGTATGCGAGAAAAAATACGATTCTGTATTTGAAATACTCTACATGTTCAGGACAAAAGTAGACAACACATAGTCTGCGTGGGTTTTACATACTATTGATGTGAATGAGATAGCGTTTTGTCGTGATGTGGTATCCATTACATTGGAAAGTTCTATTTGGATTGAGCCAAGAAGACACGCCCAGTTGTCAGGCAACCTTCTTAGGGCTTTCCTTTCACTGTACAGCTCAGAACACTGGTCCAGTACTTTGCCTTTGAAGAAGAGATTTCAATACACAGCACTGGCACTCGCGCAATCCCGTACCGCCGTACTAAGTGTTACTGAAACGTTGTGAGGCGTAGCGTGACGTGGCAGGGAGATAAAGAGAGATGTGAGAAAAGTAAATACGAGGAAAGGAGAGGCAATACATGTCAGAGGCGAGGTGACAAGAGTCTTTTTATAAGAGGCGAGATAGAAGGCCTGGGGCAGCGAGGTACGAGACATGGGGAATTGGATGGGCGGTCGAGGGGCAGGGGCGAAGGGCACAATGACGCTATCTGCGGGGGGGGGGGGCGGGGTAAGATGGCAAGGTCTTTGGGGTGCTAGGTGTGGGACGGTGAGGTCGGTTGGTGGGGGCGGGGCGCGAGCTCCGGGGCGCAGGGTGCTGGAAGAGAGTGGATGGTGTGGCGCGTGGCCCGGAGCGCGAGGTGCAAAACGTGGGGATAGGATGGTGGTGGCATGGCATGGGATGTGTTGTACGGGGGGCGGAGTGCGATGAGTGGACCAACGGGTTGGGGTGGAGGGGCGGGACGTGACAATAAAGTGGGGTGCGGGGCGCAGGAGGAGGGAACAGGGTGTGGTGGCGCGGAGTGGTACAGCTACCGGGAGCTGAGGCTTCGATTCTGCGGTGTCACGCCGACATTTGCATGTAGCGGCGAGCTGAGGCTGCGTGCCCAGCGGCCGCGCCGCAGCCTACATTGCAAGTAGGCTAGGCAACGTTGAGGCCGCTCCGCTCCGCACCGCGCCGCGCTGGTTGCACCCGGCAGGTGCGGATCCTGACGTAAGCGCCAGGGCCACTGTGCTAGGCCTATGCTAGCAGGATCGTCAAAAAATGTTATTTTTCATGTATTCCTTTTTTCTGTAAGTTCCGTTGTCTTTTCTATGTGAACACTCGTTTATTATATTTGTAACATAGTAATGAAGCCAAATACGTTTATTTCATATAATCTAAGTTAGGTTGGGCAGAGTCGGCGAGGAGAACAATTAATTCCTGTGTAAGATCAGTTAATATTCAGTTCCATAACCCTTTGTTTTTAAAATAATAAAGTTCTGATGAAATTGGAAAATAGCTGCATCTCATTTCATTTAAGTTAATCGCCGACAAAATAAATACTTATTCTGTAATATATATATATATATATATATATATATATATATATATAAAACTATTAATTCCAATAAATGTACACAGTTCAGATTAAATTAAAAGTTTCTTTCCATAAGATGTACTTAAAATATTATTTTCTGTGAAAGCTTTTGCAGCCTCTCACTCGGACATGAAGGTTGTCCACTGCAGGCGTACTTTCCATATGGAGGTTACCTATCTTTATATTATCTCTCAACATATTTGTGGTTTTGTGGCCTTTTCTGGTAACATCTTTACTCACCGCAACACCGTTGCATGATATTAAACTTCACCTTTTCGAAACCTTCTCCGAAAGCCTTACATCTGATCTTTAGTTTTTTTCCGTTTACAAGTAAAAAGGAGAGTTTTTATTAAAAATAACTGTAAAATTGAATTTTATCGCTAATTTTTCCACTCAATATTATGTTCTTGCTTCTGGGTTCGGAATGAATAATGAATATATTGCGGTATTGGGAACTGATGTCATTTTGATGACTGGTTCTCTTCATTTATTCCAAGTGTTACTTGGTGTCACTAGTAAACGCCCTAGACATCCGATAGGAACACGACTGTTGCCACTGTGCAAGTATTTACCAATGGGTGTGTTGCACTTTGTGGCGGCTGAAGTGCTGTAGACTTTCCTTACGTGTTCTCGAAGTTAATACTCGGCATTTTGACTTTATGAAAAGACAACTGATATAGTGCTTTTACGGTGATCGATAACAAATTCCGTGAATGTGGTGGCGTATGTTCTAGGAGAGACCCCTTTAAAGTATTTTTTAACACGCTGTGCGCCAAACGCGGTTTATCGTGCTTGTTTTCCGGGCGAAAAACAGCAAATTTTTTCACGGTGTGCGAAACACCGCAAAACCGTGTAAAATATCTGTAACGATTCTCAATTGTCTTTCGTCTTGACGTCGTCTTTGTTTATTATTTCGAAACAATAGTGTTACGACACTGACTGGAATACATTTACTTTTGGACAAGTAAGGTATGTCTAGTTATTTGATACTTAATTTATACTCCTTCACTTGTCGCATTGCTTTTCGCTCACGGCGTGTTAAAAAGTAGTATACGCTACACGGGCGCGAGGTGATTCCCGCACTCGTCTCTTTCTCATCCTCGCTACGTTTTGACGACAAACTCGACTGGTGCGTCACTCACCTGTTTCACACCCTTCTTAGGTAAGTACTATTTGGCCGAACGTACCAAATGAAGAGATTTGATTTCAGACGAGATATTCAGGTGATATTCGCGTCTTCCGGAATTTGTCGACCCCTCCCCTTCTCAACTTCAGCACGCTCTGTATTTATTTCTGAGAAACAGTAGACATTTCTCTGCCCATGTGGCGATAAAGAGTCTCCCGAACGCCTCGATTCGCCGCCTGTCATTCTCTTCCTCTCCGACTATACCCGCCGCCTGTAGCCTCCACTCTCACGCTCGCTTCTATCCTCTCCACTATAACCACCACCTTTCACTCTCTACTATCACCGCTACCACTCACTGGCAACCACTACCCACCACGTATCGGCGAAGCTGCTCCCAATGAATTACTGTCCATATGCTCTAGCCACGGCTTACTACCAAATATTCGCTGGAATAAATTCTCTAGCAAAGCGCCAAGAGCCGTGTCAAATAATCGATAGTGCAACCTCTACTTCTGGGCATAACTTAGTTTAAGTGTTCTTTCTGTAGTATATGCATGCCAAGTGCAATTCACTCTGCAAATAAGGTCAGAAGTTGTGTCCGCATCTTTGCGCATTTTGTGTCGGTAGTTATATCTATTATTAAGATTCGTGATTTGTATTCTTTGCGCGTAACAAGAAAACATATTTCTTTATTTTTGGATAAATTTTAAGGTTCTCGAGTTCATGTTAGATTCGATAGATCGTATTCTTTACATTATAGAAATTAATCACTTCATTCCGGAGACTCTCATGGAAGTAAAACCGTCGAAAAGCACGCTTCTTCCTTCTTGTATAAGTGAGTCGTGAGAGAAAAAGTTGAGCCTCCCTACCCCGCCCAATGAGGGTAAACATATTAGTGTCACTTGCTAAAAATTTTAAGCACACTCCTTAGTCAATCGGTCACTCCTTAT